AGTAACTCGATTACAGATTAGGTTAAAATTGAGCACTTTTATTTTACTTTAATATGTGGATCGTTTTTATATCGTGCAAATATTTCACTTTTAAAGCTGTCAAACTTCTTTCTGTTGGCGTTATTTTGTTGCTCTCTCCATGCAGGCCTCGCTTGTTTTCTTTGCAGGCCCCAATGGCATGTAAAAACAGGCGATAGAACATAGAATTTGTATCCAGCCACGTACATTTCATAGACCTACAAATAATATATTAATACACATATATAATATCTTAATGAGAAGCCAGAAATGGGCAAAGATGGTATTTTTTGCCCAAGCAAAGGTCCAAAACATATTTCTTTGTGTCATTTAAAACTAATACTTACTTGAGAATTCCTAGTAAATCCATAACCAGTAAATCTTTCATCATGGATGGGAACAGTATCTAATGCTATATAAAACGGTTCATATAAGAACTCAAAGTTTGTTACTATATGGCTTATGCTAACTGAAGTCTCATTTCCCTTTGATGTTAACCATCTGAAAAGAAAATTAAGAAATCGATAAAAATCGATAGGCACGACTAGCAAATTGCAATTTAAGTTGATTGAAAAAGTATACCTACTTTGAAAAATTGGTTGCATATTGATTGTAAATAAACACTTTTTCGTGGAAAGGTCTCGCTAATCCTTTTTTCGTTAGCGCTAACAAACTCTCCTTTGATTGTGGAAACGATGCCCGAACATCAATTTCAAAAGTAGGGATAACATAGGCGCAATTCTTCTCGCAATTGACAGTTTTAAAAAATTGGTTAAGCTGTACAACACTATTAACACTAGGTATTATATCAATGTCGGTTAAAAACACATATTTCGTTTGGCATCCCTTGCGGGCTAAATTTCTCATGTGGTTCTGAGGGTATACATTTCTCTTTCTCCATTCTAGGGTTTTCGCTGTTCTTAATTTTAATAAGAATTTTAGCGTCTTGTCAGGGTTCCGACAATTGAATTTCTTTTGGATATTCAATGGTTCTGTTAAATGCCCCGGAAGGTTTTCATATTCTTGAGGAAACAATATATGAAATGTCGCATTTGCTTTAACATTCGGGAAACAAAGCCGCATATACGTGACAAAGTATTTTAATACTATATATTCTTCATTTCCGGCGGAGAATAATGCCACAGACATAGGACCGATCCAATTTGCGGCCACTTGGGGCAAAGAGTATAGACGTTCTACCGAACTTTGCGTAGCTAGGCATATTAAACTTATTTTTGAAGATTCTGTATACTGTTCGCCTACAACGGCAAAATCCTTAATCTTGTACTTGTGTTGGTTATCCCAGCGTCCGTAGCTGATATCAATATTTGCGAAAGTTAACTTCGTTTTATTACTTTCAGATATGAAATGTTCCAAATTCGTAGTGGACATTGTCACTTGTGCTCCAACGTCGGAATGATATGGGCAGTTCAAAGGAACACTAGCTTTAGTCTTTACTTCATCATAATTTGTTGGATGTCTGCTACTGCCATTAGTAACAGATTTGTAGGGTGGATACACTTTCACTAACAATAGTATGTTTACCAACAGCAATACAATTAGAATCTTTATTAAGCTTCCATGAGGTAGACGAAACTAAAATTAGAAGAGATAAAGTTTATTAGAAATCACTTATATAACTGTGATGTTGTTTGTGGGTATCACTTTTAATTAAACATCCATAACTACGTCAAAATATCAACCACTTCAATAGAATACAATACCGATTTCATCTTGGAGCATTTCCATCCTTCGAGAATCAAAAATTTTCTCGATCACCTATCGAACTTATCGGAAGATCTAAAAGTCTCTAGCACTTCCAGGCGGATAATTGAGGGAATTATTGTTCTTAATTTGGCATTTTATTGAAATCTAACCAGTTTAAGCATTTTACAACATTGCAATACGAATAGATTTTTACTAATAT